CAGAGAGACGGTCTTCGAGGGGGGAGAAACCTGTTCTCCGCACGTAGGGTCCAGAAATGTTTCTGGCGCGCCTGAGGACACCTGAAGGAGTGTGCCTCCTGAGCCGCCGAGAGGAGCAGGCTGAATACGGCCAACAGCTTGCCTTGGGAACCCAGATGCTACAAAATTAGATTGTGTAATGAGGAAGGTGAACCTCATTATCCCTCCTTATAGGCTAGCAGGAAAACATTCATTATTTTTTAAATTATTATTTTTAACATGCTCTGGCTGCAGTTGCTTAGCAGTGCTTCTGATTCTCCATAAACTCGTGGTTGAAGGAAATATAAATGTCACTTCTTAACTTCAAGCACTGTCATTCTGCATCCTGTCAATACTTTTTAACAAGTGTTGGAAAAACCAAGGCTCCTAACAGAGTTGTACCAGGCAGTTAGCAATCCCTCACTACTACAAGTGTCATTTGCTCAGGTAACATTTAAAGCAGCTTTTTCACACTTGCAGGTGACGAGATGAAGGGCAGGAGTAACCAAGCCTGGCTTTTCTGGCTTCCTTCTTATGTGCGGTTGACGGAGAGACCTGTGCTGCAGCTTGGGTCCTGATGGTTCCGGAAACCAAGCCTCCTGCTCTCGCGTCCTCTGGTGGAGTGCAGCCAGCGGTAACCACACCTTGTGTGACTGCCAACAGCAACAATGGTGCTTGCCTGAAGAATGTGATTTGCTTACTTGTGTTCTGCTGCACCACGACAGAGTGTCCTTCATCCTCACCTTGGTTACTGGCATGGCACCATTCTTCTGTGCCTTTCCCTGTAAGCCCTGTCTTTGTTTAAAAGTTCATTCCGATATCAGAGGCCCTGCTTCTGCAGATGCTTTCACCTCAGAGTAGTTTCGTTATGCTAAACTGGCATCACCTGAAACACGTGCCAGTGTTTTGGAGACAGTATAATTAGCTTAACAGTACACCTGGTTCAGCCACCAACTGCACGACGTGCTGGCTGAGATGTTACCGTAGCTGGAATGGCATTTGATTTGTTAGCAGCATTCAGCTGACAAAACACAACTGTGATCTTAGACGAGGTGGAACCTCTTCAATATTGGATAAAAGTGCAAAGATAAAAATCACTAACTGCTTTAGAGGTTCTTGTTTCTGAGCATCGTTGTGTTTATTTACTGAACTTGGGGCCTAAGGTCAGCTTTTTCTAGTATTGTGAAAGCAGTCAAGAACTGTGAAGAATGTTTTAATTTATTTTCCTTTAGGAGAGACTAACATAGGTCTCCAGGGCTGTGAACATTTTTTTTCTTAAGAGTCCCATATATATGTATTTTATAGGAAAAAAATGACTGCAGTCATAACATTTGATTTTCATACAAAACCCATGATTTTCTCAGATTCTCATGGAGACTTTTTTCAACATAGTTCATGCTTGTACTTCATTGCTTTCCTTACCACAAAATAGAAACTAGTGTAACTACCCTCTAGAGGTTGTCTTTTTTTTTTTTCAGTATAGCAATACTGAATTGCTTTTGTAGAGATACACAGTGTATCAGTCCATACTGGTTCCTGTAGATGATGATGGTTTCTTTATGGTTAAATTTACAGCCAGCTGTTTAAGATACGCTGGCATCTCTGACACAGTGTTCCTATTCTGTGAACCTTCTTTGAGGATTTGGCTGTCAAACTCTACACTTCTATTTCTGTTTAATAGTGATCTTTCTAGGAAATCAGGTTACTCGCATGAGGTAACAATAGAATCAATTAGGTTGAACAATGTAGGGAGAGATCCTGACTCATAATTAAGTCTATAATAGGACGCAGCAGATTCACTGTCAACTTGATTCCTGAATGTGCAGTTTTAAGTGATATTGTTCAAGTTTGATTAAGTTCGTACATGCCAAGACATTAATCACTTGCAACAAGTATGAAGCAATTCCGTACAGATTTGTTCTGGCAGCAGGATGGTGGTGGGACTAAAAATGTAACTACATACATTTTTAGTTACATTAAGTACATTCTCACAACAGTGAAAAATTAAGGCCTATCTGAAACATAAGAAAACAAAGTAAACGAGGGTATAAGCACTTACTCTGAGAAGCACAAGCTGACATTTAAATATTCTTCAACATATAAAAACTTGACACCAGGAAATTAAGGCTGTATGTGTGACAGGGAGAAGCTAACCTTTGATCTGAGTAGCTAAACAGCATAGAAGTCCTGTCACAACAACAGTGGCCTTGAAGCTTCCTATCTTAACAAGAACATACGGAGCTTAACAGAGGAACCACCTTAGGAGACTACAATGAACAACACCTGCTTGGTTTTGAGAGTGGAAATTGAAAGACTAAAGAATTCTCAACTCTTAAAATATGTAACAAGATGGCATCTGAATTAGGATGGCAGTATCCTCATGATACAAGTAGAAAACAGGAAACTGATCTGGATAGGGGACCCCTCAGGCTGCCTGCATGAGACCACCTTGCCCAGGCCCGCACTGGATCCCATGGCAGTGTTCTGCATCCCAGCTGAGACACTGATGATCCCGATGACTTATGTATTGCATAAATTCATGACAGCCTGAGACAAGCAGGTATTTTGGATCCCTGAACGTTTGTGGGTCCTGTTGAAGGTTATAACCCTTTATGTATCACTTGTTTTTGTTTGAGGTAGGGCTTTGCTTTTGTTCTTAGCTAGGGACCAGCTTCAGTTCTAGGGAAAAAAAAAGTGTAGGCAGATTGCAGTCTGGACTATAAATTAAAAGAGAGTTGAATAATTGCATCCTGTCTTACTGGTACAGTAGACTGGCCTCTGCTAAGTATAGTATATTCACTTAAAAAGGGGAGTTATGTGAAAAAAATAATGAAAATACTGAATATATATATTCAGTAAATATCATATTTGAGATGAAAAGCTAAGTAACAAGGAAAGCAGGAAGTTGTTTATTTTAACTGGAGAAGTGCATGAGTTTATTAGGACTAAAAGCAACTTTTTTTTTTTTTAATCCAGCTAAAATTATTGATATAAATAGGCTGTAATAAGCTATACTAGATACAATGTAAATGGGAATTAAAGGCAGAATGTTACAGGGACAGAAAGCTGGGGAAATTAAGATAACTAATTCTTCAAATATATTAAATGCAAGAAGGCTACACATTGCTTTCTTTGGTGTATTGATTCTTATACTTGATCTTGCATTGACTGAATTGAACGCAAACACTTTGACACAGAAACAGTATTTTACATGTAAAGGCATATCCTCCAATAGACAGATTCTGCACAAAAGCAGGACTGAATGTAAACTGGACTTAAAACCAGAGAGTTCTAAAAAAGAACAAAATCCCTGGTATGTATTTTGACTTTATCTACAGTGGCTAAATATCTCAGTGTTTTCTATAAGTGTGCAAAATGGTGCATGCAATACCACATGAGCTATCAGATTAAGAGCAGCAGGAAAGTGCCACTTCATTGCATGTGCCTAGTTGTGGTTATTTTGTACAGGGCATGTACCAACATGTAATAAAAACCTTTGTCAGAAGTCATAGTTCTACTTTCAGTGGAAGGCAGAGTAAAAAAACCCACATCATTTCAGATGACTTATTAGGACACTTGTTCAGAAGAGAGGTGACCTTTGTGAAACAGAATCTTCAGCTTGATACCTCTTAACGTGGGGAAAAATCATCACAGTGGCTTCTGAAAACATCGCTTAACTCCAGTGGATTTCCTAATGCTGTCAAGGACTCTTAACAGTATGCCAAGTCTGAGTTAAATTTAGGTACGATGAAATATTTTGCCTATCTAAAAACCAGTAGACTTTCACAATCAAATATATAAATTGTTCTAAATGAAATTACACTATGGAGATCAATACCATCAAGATACCAAGAGCATATTCAAATGGAAAACTCTCCTTGACTCTGTCGTGCTTTGCACTTAGCACCTTCCTCCTCAGGAACTCAGAGCTCTCAGTATGCTAATACTAGTGAATTTAGCCTCACGACATCCAGTGAGGTAGGTAAGTTTACCCCCATTTCACAGATGGGAAAACTGAGGCAGAATTCTGAAGTGACTTGCCTAAGGTCCTGCAACTTGTCAGTGGCAAAACCAGGAATATAATTTTCAGAAGTTCAGATCCCAGACCTCTGTCCGGTTAAAGTCCCTCCCTACTACCACAAAGCAAGCAATATGCGCAAAGTTGGGGTTTTTTCCCTCCTACTGCTGCCGTAGTCCTGGTGACACAGAGGAAGTGCATGATTTTTCCTGATTGAATTCCCGCTTTCTTTGGCAAAAAGCACCTGATTCTGTCAAAGTGCTATATTACGCTCTTCACAGAGGCGTTTCTTCTGAGGCACAATAAAAAAAATGGTTTCCCCATGGCAAGGAGACTGTACAGCTCCAAACGGAGTCTTATTTTTTGCAGAAGACCTGCTGCTTGGCATTCTTCACACGTTCTTCCTCCTTCAGGTTCTTCTGCCGCGCATGTTTGCTGGAGATGAGTTCCACGTGTTCTGAGGGGAACCAGCCTCTCTCCCGGTCTGAAAGTTTTACTCCTTCCATCCACCCTGAGGTGTGGGGAAAAAAGCACATCAAGAGGCAAAATAGGCAAACATTTTTTTCATTCTTCCAAAAAAAAGCCCCCTCCAACAACACCCAAAGATCCCTTTTCAGCTTCCAAATAAAGTGTCTTAATGAAGATGAAGAATATCTTCATCCACTCAGTCCAAAAATTTGTAGAGGCTCCTTCTGAAGCCTGACTGTGTTGTTAAAGCTTTACACTCCCAGAGTAACTTCCTCCTACCCGTAATTTAAGCTCATTCTGCTCACCATCATTGCTGTACTGCATAACCATGATGATATCTGCTTTCTCCAAAGCCAGCTCATCGTTCTCCCGAGCCTTGTAAGTCTTTATGCATTGAACCTGTGGTGCATCTGAAGGGGGGGGAAGATCATAATGGTACACTAAAAGGCAATAGTAAACCTGTGTGTATCAGCCCCAGGGGAGGAAGGGGATAAAGGACTGCCCAAACACTCAAGAGCAGAGAACTGGAAAGGAGACTACAGGCCCTCTACTTAATATGTGCAGTAAAAATTGGTAAAATAACTGGCAGAACTCAGCACCGAGGGAAAGCCTGTGAATATCATTTTTATTTATAGAAAGGCAAGTGTTCTGCCATGCAATCGTTCTGGGATGTTCTACCTCACAGTGATAGAATCCTTAAGGTTGGCCACGACCTCTATGATCATCAAGTCCAGCCATTGACACTACTATGACCACTAAACCATGTCACAAAGTGCCAGATTCCACGTGTTCTTTGAACACCTCCAGGCATGGTGACTCCACCACTTGCCTCGGCAGCCTGTTCCAATGCTTCACCCCTCTTTCAGTAAAATTTTTATTCCTCATAGCCAATCTAAACTTCCCCTGGTGCAACTTGAGGCCATTTCTGCTTGTTACTTGGGAGAAGGGACTGACCCTCACCTCACTACAGCCTCCTTTGAGGTAGTTGTAGAGAGAAATAGGATTTCCCTTCAGCTTCCTCTTCTCCTGACTAAACAACGCCAGTTCCCTCAACCACTCCTCCTAAGACTTGTTCTCCAGACCCCTCACCAGCTTCGTTGCCCTTCTCTGGTGACTCCAGTCCCTCTGAGCTAGCCCACCCCCACTACTGTACTAGTAGAGTAGTCTCACCAGGGCATTCCAGGAGGTCCAGTTCTCCTCGGGGAGGGGCCAAAGCAGAGATCCACCTCAGCTTCTCACTGCTGTAAAACATCACCAGGTAGGTGTCAGGATTGTCAGTGTGAGGGACAGCAGCCTGATGACTGGAATGGGGCAGAGGGGTGTACAGGTTTGCTCACAGGAGGGTTCAGGGAGGGGTGGGTTAGAGGAAGCAGTGAAAGTGGAAAAAGGGAATGAAAAAAGGCAGACACTCCCATTTTGGGAGGCTGATGGTTTGACGTAACATGCTAGTATTGTACAGGCAGCTATGATGAGAGAGGAGCAAGGTGGTTCATTAAGAGCTTGTTATGGTAAGAGGATGTTTTTAAGTCCTCTGCTCAGCAGCTGCATTTTGATACCTCAGCATTTAGGTAGCTGAGGGACAACCATCAGGCTCCTAGGAGGCATCTGGCTATGGTAACGGGGTATACTGAGGGTAACCTTCAGCTCTTACTGTGTCTCTGTACGAAACATCCCTGGTAATTCTGAAGTAGAAAGAGACGAAAAACATTTTTGTTTGTTCCATGCAGTTTCATCTCGCACTTCTCCCCACGCACATCTGAGAAAGCAGCATGATCAAACACAACAAAACGTCCACCCCTGCAGATAAAGAGGAAGAACAAAACAAGTTGTGAGTTTTAAGGTGATGAGGGTTACAAAACTGAGCCCATTTTGTTTTCTGAAATCAGGAAAGCTTGTAATAAGTCTACCTCAGGCACCTTAAGCTCTGTTCTTGCTAGAAGTCCCAGACAGCCAAAGAAAGAGGGGACTTAATGAAGGGGGTAGAAATACCAAGCTCTGTCCTGTCAGAATTTTACTTGATAGCTTACAGCTTAAAAAGAAAACCACCCTGCCAAAACCTCAACATAACCAACCAAGAACCCTTAGTTTCTTGACAAACCAGTCATTTGCACATTCATGAATCTTCATACTGTCTCTTTGGGAAGAAATTATTTACCAAGTAAAGCTAGAATAAATGGTTATTATTAAAGTGTTTCACATTATAGAGGTGGAAAGGCAAAACAGAAGTGTCGCACCAGGGACTAGAAGATATCAGTATATTCTCATATGTTGTAATTTAGAGTAGGGAATATCAGATTCCACGTACTTGCACAATACTCACATAATGTAGGGTTAGGAGAGTGACTTGACAAATGCTGCCACTTGCTGGCAGGCAGAGGGAAAGGACTCTTTCACCAAAGCACAGACCCAGAAAGAGAGAGGTATTTTAGAAGGGGCAGAAGAATTGTGTTGAAGCACTCACTCCTTTGGCCGAGACAGGAGCAGACAGTCAGTGAAAAGATGTAGGTAGATGGGACGGGTGGTGACTTTCCATTTTGGACTCAGAGTACTGTAGTCCAGTGCTGTCAACTCACCACACTTCACCAGTCGCCTTGACTGTGAGATGAGTGGGAATATCTGCAAGACAGGAACATTTATGTCAAACGTGTATAAGGAAATCAGTATCCATGAGTTTTGGATCTGCATTTTCACCTTTCTCTAGAGGAAGCGTGCTTCCACGTCTCCAGCTAGACAGGTGTTAAAGTCATGGTAGGCACCTTCAGCCGAAGGCTGACACAAACCATTAGGCAAGGGAAAACTAAGGATAAGCTGACCTGTGTATGATATTCTTGCTCAACAGTTTTGTGTATATTGGAGAGGAGCACAAAAAGTAAGCTACAAATGGCTTTGTGAGGAGAGAGAGAAAATACATTAAGTTACAGCAAGGCCCAGGGAATGGATGAATTCACCTTGCACTCAAACTCAATCTTCTGGCTGAGGTAGATCAGCTCTTCAGTGCTCTTCATGCGCTGGACATTTTCATTGCAGTCCTTGATGAGCTGCAGAGGAAAACAGACGATTGGTGAAGTGGGAATAGAATTGTCTGGTGGGATCAGTACTACTCCCAGGAGCCCCTCAAGAATCGATCTTGGTGTAAGTGTCAATTCCTTAGGCATTCTCCTGCAAAGAGTATTTTTCCATGCGAGGATACTAAACTTCTCCACACCTTCTTTCTTAAGGAAGGTATGAAGTCTCTGTAATAACTATTAACTTTGGGATACTGGGGGGAATACGAGAGACATCTCTCTCAGGTGACACAGGTGATTTGGAAGCAGCTCTTATTAGATGCTCCACTGTGATCACAGGAGGCTGATTAGATAAACATCAGCTTCAATTTTCCACAATCCAGAGCTTGCAGCCAGTGCCTGTGAGGACAGGACAAAATGGAACAGGTACTTAATCGGCCTGTAAGCTGCTTACGTAACCACCTGAGGTGATATATAACAGTATAACAGTGGTATAACAGTGTATATACCAAGCATAACAGTGACTCAGAGGTAATTCTGGCTCGAGCACTGCTGGAGTCTAGGGATTTCAGTGTATGACGTCTTGCCCAGGCTCCTCAGAGTGCAGTGTTTTGGGAGCTGTGCAGCACACAAGTGCGGTCCTAAGAGCTTTAAGGAGGCATGCATCATGTTGAACTGATCTTTAGGTTTGTGGTGAATAGGGGAGAGGTTGCAAAGGACAGGAGGACACACCAAAAAGGTCAAATCTTCACTAAACAGAAGAGGAGCTAGCTAAGAACAAGTCTACCTTATGCTGCTGTGCAAATTTTAGATAATGAGTTGTCCCACATGACTTTAAATCTTATCTCTGTAAGAAGCGGGATAGAGAAGGGATGCAACAGAGTAATGTCCTTGCCATGAATTTTTTTTCTTTAAAATTTTTAAAGAGCAAGATTTTCTTGCAGGGACTAAGGTGGGAGTTGATCCCTAATTAGAGACAAAGGTAAGGAACAAAAAAGGGGAATGGTGGTTAGGTGATTGGAAAGAGCAAGTCATAAATAAAGGAGTTTGATATCATCAGTGCAGGTTCAGTTGCATCCCAGATGGCTCCTGCTTTAGTGTTTTCTGCTCACAGCTACTACTGCACATGCAGCAGAGTCACATGAACACACTAATCTGTCACTCACAAGGATCAATGACCATGGCCCTCAACAAAGGTGAGGATCAATGAGAAAGACTGGGCCACTTTGGTGCCCTGCAGCTGTGTCATGCAGCATGGCTGTGAGCAATCACAGAGTATCGTGAGTTGAAAAGGACCCATGAGGATCCTGACTTCACACAGGGCAAACTAGAAGTTAAACTATATCTAAGCGTTGTCCAAACAATTCTTGAATAGTCATGCTTGGGGCCACAACCACTTTCCTGGGAAGACATTTCCAGTGCTTGACAATGCTCTCAGTGAAGAACTTTTTCCTAATATCCAAGCTGAACTCCCCATGACACAACTTGAAACTATTCCCCTGTGTCCAGAGAGGAGATCAGCACCTCACTTTCCACTCCTGGTCATGAGGACACTGTAGACAGCAATGAGGTCACCCTTAGTCTCCTCTCAGGTAAACAAACCTAGTATCCCCAGCCACTCCTCATAAGTCTTGCCCTCCAATCCTTTCACCACCTTTGGCCACATTCCAATATTTTTACATCCTTCTTATACTGTGGAGCCCAAAATTGTGCACAGTACTCAAGGTGAGGCCACACCAATGCTGATTATAGTGGGACAATGACATCTTTCAACTGGTTAAGCAACACTGTGCTTAACGCCCACCAGAATATAGCTGGCTCTTTTGGCTGCCAGAGCACGTTGGTCACTCATATTGAGGGTACCATCAGCCAAAACCCCCAGATCCCTTTATGCTGGGCTGCAGAACAGGTTAGTGGCCTTACCTTTTCAAGTGCATCATAGGCCTGTGTTGCTTGCACTTCCTCCTCAGACCCAGGCCGAGTTCTCTTCAGGATATTCTGTGTGAGAGAAGGTGTTTTTCATAATGCAAACTGTGAAAGCCAGGCATATGTATTTGAGAGGGGTGGGAGAACCAAGGAGACACCAGGATGCCAGCATCAAGGGAAATTAAAGCAGTGGTAGGTTGTGAGATGTGGAGATAAAGGGCCAGAAATCTGAGGTGCAGAATGTCACTCATAAGCTACATTGCACAGGGCATCCCTGAAAAATCCAAATCCTATTATCTATCACATACAAATTACATGGAATAGGAAGCAATCACTAATCCAAGGACAAACAGCCTTACACACAGAATTGTTCTTTGCCTGATACTCCTTTTCAAAGAACAGGAGATACTCCTGTTCAAAGAAAGCCTCAAATAATCAAAAAGAAGAATTTCATAGAAAGAGCTCAAAATCAACTAATTAGGGACTTGTTGGTTCTCAGTCCTGTTAGTGAACATTGTAATAAAAGTGTAGAGACAGGCTGCCTTCCAGAGGGCAGTCAGGGAACCTTTGCTTTGTTTTCCTAGCAGGAAGCCAAAAAAGTTCAATAAAACATAAATCAACATGTTCTGACAAGACTCCATACATTATGTGTTGAAGTATAATTGAAGCAGTGTTGTAACAAAGTCCTAACCAATATACAAACTGCATTGCCTCACACAGGCTACGATATCCAACTCGTGGCACTGGTCTAAAGCATAGCAGGCATTTGTGCAGTGACAAACGGGTTTGGTTTTGCAAAGGCATATTCACAATATATGCAACAGGGTGGCTTTAGAGCACTTTGCCAAACTTGTCACAGATGCAACACCAAGGGCTGTATGCAGTCCTTCCACTCAGCGCTTGGAGCTAGCTCATACTTATATGATGTTCAGACTTGAAAAGGGGTCAGCTTGAGCATAAATGTAGGAAAGCAGAGAATCACCACAATTACCTGTAGGAGGAGTTTGAGTCGAGTGATGCGCTGGAAAGGGAGGATGAGGAAGGATTTCAGTGAGAGGCGCTGGCACACTGGATCACTTTCCAGTCTCTCCAGGACTTGCTGGAACCCTGCATTTCCATTTCTGTGAGAAAAAAAGACATCCAGGCATCAGAGCAAATAAAGAGTCTTCCTAGTATCAGATTTCATGAGTGCTGGAATACTCTGAACAGTCAGATTTTGTCCCTACAGCAAGAGAGGTCAAGAAACTGCACCATTCTGCTGAGGAAGAACAACTATGGGTTTCTAACAGCTATAAGACAGCAGTAGAGAATCATGGAATGGTAAGGGTTGGAAGGGACCTCTGAAGATCATCTAGTCCAACCCCCCTGCCAGAGCAGGATGACCTAGAGTAGATCACACAGGAACACATCTAGGCAGGTTTTAAAAGCCTCCAGAGATGGACACTCCACAACCTCTCTGGGCAGCCTGTGCCAGTGCTCTCTTACCCTTGCAGTAAAGAAGTATTTCCTCCTTACACTTAGGTTGAACCTCCTGTTTTCCAGTTTGTGACCACTGCCCCTTCTCCTGTCACTGGACACCAATGAGAAGAGTCTGGTCCCACCCACTTTAGATAGTTATAAGCATGAATGAGATCCCCTCTCAGTACAACTGCACAACAGTACAATTATATCTTTCCTCTTTCTGCCACAGCCCTCTGGAACAAAAGCTAGAACTAACACCTCCATTTCAATTTCCCTCTCTCAGAAGGGTGCCTTTCACAGAGACAGTGGTGGTTTGAATCCTTCTCTTAAATGGCCCAGCTCCAGGGGCTGTGTTCAGGGTCTGGAAACAGCTTCCTGCCCTCTCCTGCTATTCCTTGGAGGAGCTGCCTTCTGCCTTGATGTCTCCTCTTAGACACAGCCACCACCATTTAGTTTTCCATGTTGGGCAGTAGCATGGCTAACGGTATGAGAGTGGTACCAGCCACAATAGCCAGTCCCATATGCTTGAAGAGATGGGGAAGAAAGTTGTAGGCCCAGTAGATGTTGCCCTAGACAATAGGTCCTTTCTGTGTGGAACTGAGCTTTCCCCGAAGGGAATCAATTGCTAGAGTAGATTTCTCACAGTCAGCAGCACCCAGAGACAGTGCCTGAATGTCCTGTTGGGAACAGTATCTTCTCCTGGAACCACAGTAGCTTCACTGGAATTGGGTTGTTAACGAGGGGAAGCAGTGAAAGGAAACCTTGCTCAGGACTGGGCCCATGCCTGGTTAACGCTTAGTTGTGCCACTGGGTACAGAAGGCAGCAAGAGGTGCTCCATTCCACCACCCAGAGCTAAAGAGACCAACAGTGTTCTCTGGCCCTAGGATTTTCAGTCCACTTTAAAGACTCCTGGATAGCCAGTTTAAGCTTATTGAGAGCAGTTGTCTTTTTCTTAATTAAGGAATCACAGAATGGTTAAGGCTGAAAGTTTCACTTGAAATTATCACTTTCCAGTTCTTAAACCATTATCCAGGACAATCATATCCAGTCTCTTTAGTAGAGGGCAGACAGAGAGAATAGCCTTCAACAGAATCAGATATTAACTACCCTTTCCCTTTCCAATGCTATGAGTGAGGAATCTGCAGCAGCAGCTCTGTCCTGCTGTCCCAAATGCCACTGAATTGAAGAAGGTTCTTGCCCGTTGTTCTGGCGCTCTAGTGTGAGCACTGTCCAACAGCCTGTACCTGCAGCCTTCCCCATCGTTTGAAAGATTGAATATTTGAGGTGCAGCAAGGAAGTGAAGGGAAAGAAAGGTGTAACAAATGAGGAAACTTACAGTAACCGCTGGAAAGTTTGCTCCTGATACGTCTGGTTTGTTACATATGGTAGATACACCCTGCGGAACTCAGGGGCATGTTTCAGAGCCACATCACACACATGGAAGGTGAACATGTCCTCCTCAAATTTCTCCTCCAAGTCAAAGAGGAAACTGCAGCACATGGTTGTGGTGCCATAGAAGAAGGAAATAATGTAATTTAGTAAAGCAGGAATGGCCTCAGTCTTCCAAAATCCTGACAGCCCACAGAGAAGCGCAAGACAGCTCTTTATTTCTAGAGAGAGCATAATGCCTGTACAATGACAATTTACTGCTAGATATCAGCAAGGAAGAGCCAGAGGCTAAAGACCTCTATTCTAGAGAGTTCATAATTGTAAAGGCATAGTCAGGAAACAACTGAAAATTAAGACATCACCAGAATAACCATGCTAGTAGGAATGGAAAAGGTAGAAGCAAACTTTACTAGCTTAGCAATACATGTAGCCAAGCCTTGCAGCAGAAAAGCAGAACAAAATCGTACAACGTAATATGATTATTAGCATGTGGGGTCATGTCTACATTTTATGACTTAGGCTCAATTGATTCATGTTAGGTTCTGTCAAGTGATGGCTGTAACTTTTTTTTTTTTACTCTTTTTTTTTTTTACTTTTTTTTTTGTCAGCTTGTGCAGCTGCTGCTTTTGTCTTGCATTTGGCAGGAGCTGCATTTGGTTCAGGCTCAGGTCTAGTTACTCAAGTTGTAGTTGAAGTAAAGAGCACATGGCTACAGTGGCATTTTAAACATTTTGATCTCCTGCAATGAGCTCTGTGCACAATTGTGCCATAATATCTGGGATTTAACATCAAGATTTACACTGCCCTGTCAGCTAAAAAGGCAAATGTTCCTTTCAGGGTAGTGCTGGTATGCAATCACGAAATGTTATGCGTGTGTATCTGCTGTGAAGGTCAGTGAACATGCAGAACAGGAGTGAGAGAAGGAAACGATGGGCTGTGTCTGTCTTATTTTGGAGGGTGTTAATCCTGGAAGCAAAGGGCCATATCTCACCTGGCGCTGACATCACGTACATCATGAAGGCGGGAGAAAAGCCACTGACGCTCTTGATTGGTGAGCATTGCCTGGAGCTCTGCTGATCGCTGGAAGTGATCCACTGCCACATTTAAACTGCGCAGGTATGAAGCCTCAGACATTATCAACTCAAACTTGGCCTTGAGAGATGAAATAAGGGAGCACAGCATCAGTAGTCTACACAAGTAGAAGTGAGGAATCTTAAGGACAAGAGACAAGGGGAAAAGCAAGAAAATCTCCTAGTACATGATGTAAGTAGTGCATCATTACAGAAGTTGAGCTTTAGGAATGAAAGGCAAATATGCCATTAAATGCAGCCTTTCTTTCTTTAAAAGAAGACGTGCTACAACTAAAAACAACTACCTGCTCTCATTTTGCTTTTTATTCCCCCTCAACTCCACTTTCACTAGGTTCCCAGTCTTACATGATCACATATATTTTCCACTACCTGCATCACTTGCATTTTAGTCCTTCATCAAGTTTCCTATGCTGTTGGTTTTGCCTCTTTCTCTGGGTTCTCCCATCCACTTTTCAGTTCCTTTCATTTTCCTTATCCAGTTTCTCTATGTGCCATTTTGCTGAACCCATACATCTTCCTGTTTCCTCTCAGCTCTGAGGTTTGGCAAGTTTGGTAAACTCACACTCTATCACAGGAACTACAGTTCACTGTGGTTATACTAGCATCTCTTATAAGCATTTGTGTGAGAGAATGCTGGAAGTCTTCTACTTTAATATCCTATTTTGTGTGGAACACGCTCAAAATTCCTTGTTCCATTTCATTCCCATTTCCCCACGTCTGTTTTCATGAAGTTACTGGTATGGTCCAGAGTGTGTCCTTCAGTGCTCCTTTGCTCTACACTTCTGAACTTCAGCACTGTACTGCTTCATAAGCACTGGCACTACATCTCCATACTGCTTACATGGGTAAAGGAGACCCCTGCATTCAGACACCTGCATTTCCACATCAGAACTCTTGGTCTCCACTTTAACCATCCTCTCGGACTCTTTTCTTGACTACAGACCACCCATCTACCTCGTTACATCTGTCCATTACCTCTTGCAGCTTCTGCTCATCACGGGACATATTGAGCAGCATTCTGCTGCCCCGTACCATGGGGATGTCCTGCCAGAGGGATGCATTGGATGAGACTGACAGACGTTGCAAATATGAGTCCTGGGGAGATAGCACTTTCCTCCGCAGCCTTGGGGAGCTTGGGAAACTTGACTCTATATCCTCTGCGAAAGAATCCACTCTCTTCTGGCTTTGAATGGCCTTGTTCAGAACCACATCACTGTACTCCTGATACAACAATCTTGCTGTGAAGAGAGACACATACGTTTATACTTTCCATAGAAGCTACTTGACCTCTCCTTCAATCTGGAGAACACTCTGTAACTGTCTCAGATTAGGATAACTGAATACGTTAGACTACATGAAACTGCTATAAAGCAAGGCTCACCAGCTCCCTGAATGTACTGCAGGACTTTGGTTTCACTGCCTCCGCTGAACACCACTCTCTAGCACTACTTCCTTGCTCCCACGTGGCAGGAGCCCCTCTCCTTTGTGCTCACCGCAAGGGCGAGAGATGATGGAGGAGACAGGGCTGCCACTGCACTTCAGGCAGAAGTTACTTACAGGAGTTGATTAGTTTGGAGTGCCGGCGTTTGAAATTCTCCATTGCATCTGCAGGTTTCTTCTCTCTGTCAGGAGACAAAGAGTGAGTGAAGAACACAGTGCCAGAGCTGGCTTATCCAAATCTCAGTAATATATCCACCACAGCAAGGACCTCTCTTTCCAACAAGCTCATGCTCCACATGCTTTACTTAACAAAGAACAAAGTTTGGCTTAATGGAAACACTGTCCTAAATGGACAGAAATACTCTTGTTGTAATGAGGTCCCCTCCCAAAGGGCATAGACCTAAGTCATTTTATTATAGTTGTCTACTCCTTATGGTCATCTTTCATTCCTCAGGAACAATGGAGAGCATCAGGTGTCTGTGCTATGCAGGGATGGGGACAAATTCTGAGGGTTCTGTGAGAGACTTACCGCAATATAACTGTTTCTGAACTGACTGGTGGTTCCCTGTGTGCCTTGTGTGCTTCTTCCTCTGAAGGAACAGAAGGAATTTCTGCATATAATACAGTAAGAAAGTAAACACAAAAGTCCATTTTTAGAGTCAAGCTACAATGCAAATGATACACAGATACCACTTACCTATACCACCCACCTAAGCAGTGGCTTTGCATTGTAGCACAGGTGCCCTCTTGACCTTTTTTTCTGGGTCAGAAATATTCCAGTTTTAATAACCCTGGACACTACTCTACATCTGTTACTTAGCCACTCTTGCTTTTCATACAAAGAAAAAGGCTAACACTTTTGGAGATGGCAGTACCTCTGAGAGTTCCCCTCTCCAGCTGCCCAAGCGCAGACACTGCCCTGGGGCCTTATTTGGTGCTTCCTTTCTGCTTTCAGCAGCTTGGGCCAGGCATCGGGAGGAACAACAGACCCAAAGTCATGTCTAAAAGCCTTAGACTTTCTTTTGTGGATATTGAGCCCCAAAAAACTCTCAGTGACTTCTGGGGTAGAAATGCTGGACATCAAAGTCACTCCTGTGAAGAGTCTTTGAAGGAATGTGGCCTGTTGTAATCCACTTCTGACATTTATGTACTATGTGAGGGTTCACAAACTACTGCTTGAGTCACCTTCCGATTATGTAAAATGAAGGAAATGTGGATTTTCCTTTTGTTTTGTGAGAGATATTTAATTAAAAAGTGCAAGAAAATTCTATATAAAATTCATTGGAAGTAGGAAGAGGAAGAAAGCCCAAAGACTGAGCTGCAGATATGGGTCAAGGAAAAGACAGTACTGTTGCCTTGAATGTTTTAAAATTTGGAACCAAGAATTTATAGGTCAAACACACGAACACATCTTGATTCAAGTGCTGCCAAGCCATTTGCACCCCGTCATGCTCCCCTCCTTTTCCTCTACGCCAAAAATCCAGCGTGTTGTGGTGCTTGGAAAATGAACTAAGAAAGTGCTGAGAAGAAGCAAGTATGTTTAAAGATCGCGTAAGATATAATAACCAACAGACATGCATATTGACTGAATGAGCTGCATTACAGAAGACATGTTTTTTCCATTCGCGATGTAAGGGATTCAGCTTCTATGCAAGTTGAGACCTTGGATTTGGCAAATTTGCAGTCTTATCTGTAATCTCAAATCCTACATTCTCTGGAAGATCATCTTTTTCAGGAGGTCAAATTGGAACCTAAAGGTGGCAGTTGCAAAAGAAAGGGAAGTAGCAAATAAACAAGGGACTAAAATATATGGTAACAGATACGGGCTACTGAGGGCGTGTGCATGCGTTTCTCTTGCTGCTTCGAAATGGGCTACTGCAAGTGCAGCAAAAGGCAATGTCCATACGATGGCAGCAGAGGTGACGAGCAGAAGCTTTCAACTGAGCCCCACCAAGAATTCACTCTTGCAGGTAGGCCACAACAGCCCCTATTACTCAATAAAGGTGACAGATCATTAAACGTGGAGAAAAGGACAAGAAGAGAAACTGGACGCAAAGCCCAAGGGGTGCGGGATCCATGAAGTAAGACAAGCTCTCTGTTGCAGGTTTTGGTGTGGAACAAGGGAACTGAGCTCCGGAGGAGAGCCCTACTCGAGACAACAAGCTGGACAAGCTGGTTACAGGACAGCAGAGAGGAGCTAGGGGAGAGCTGGGAAAGGGCAGTTTGGGGGCAGCAAGGTGACTACATGGCTGGGGTGAGGAGTTTTACCAGAAAACCACAAAAGCAATGCCAAGTTCTCAGCTCTCCTATCACTAATTTAATGTAACCTTGTGCTTTTTGTATCTCCAGTAAGTTGGAGGAGGGGAAAAGAAATGGAGGAGAGGACTCACCCTGCAAGATGTCTGGTGGTACTGATGTCCTTTTCAGGCCCTGACGGTGCCAGTCCTTGCTTTTTACTCGTCGTTTAATTGGGTTTTCTTGATTGGCTCCTGGCTCCTGTGCAACTACCCTGATCGCTTTTTTGTCAGGCCAACTCGATGATTTTTCCAAGGGTGAATGTCTGGGAATGTTCTCCTTTGGCTGAGCTACCAAGTGGTGTTCTCCTCCTTCTTCCAGCCTTTGCTTGGCCCTCCTCTCATCTTGTGTTTTCTCTGTGACTACCAATGGAGCTTGGGAGTTCTTTATGTCCACATCAAAGATGCCTGCTTGTTGGTCCCATTGCAGCTCCCCTGAGAACTCCTGCTCTTGGTAGGTCTTTCTGGTGGTTGGTGGTGATGGAGGGCTGAGCTGGAGGAAGTGGATTGGATTGGTGAATGCTAGCATTGGAAGGGGCTGTGCAGAGTCTCTGCTCGTGGAGTCTGTGGATGTTATCAGACTTTCCAGTGAAGGCCAAGAAGAGTGGTCAGGTGGAGATTTTCCACACTGTATATCCATGTGCTGGTCCACTGTTTCACGGCTGGTGTCAGAGCAGCCAGTGAACGCTTCAGTTCCAACAGCAGAAAAGCTTTTGGCCAACAAACTGACCCCTGAATCATCAGAAGTCTCTGTATCATGGGTACCTGAGTCACCAAGATCCCACTCTCTAGTTACTGCCACAAGGTTACCTTTCTCTGCTCCATCTTCTCTATCAGAAGCAGAGGCCACAGTGTTAGAATCAGACACAGAGGTGGCAGTCCGGAGAGGATGGCTCACAGTAGGGTGAACGGCCAGTAACTTCTTATCGTCCATACCACAGTTGAGATGTGGTCTGGAGCAGGGTACAGGAGCCAGTGGCTGGTAACCTTCAAGGGCTGGAGGTTGAGCAAGGTGATTTGCATTAAGTGCAGGGGCCTGAGCTTGCCTGGGGCTTTGGACATGGGAAGGAGGATGTGGAAGCAGTTTGGCATCAGGCTCAGATTCCAGAGGTAGGCTTGAGTGGGACACAGGGGACAGAGGTTGTTCTTGCTGGTTCATGGCAAGGACCGTATCTTCTTCAGAGGGCCAAGTTAAGGTGCTCAGGACACTCGAGATCCTGGATCCAGGCTCCTTTTGGTTTAAACTGCAGTCAGACTGATCAAGCAAAGGCATTTGTTGTGCTTCATGATCCACATTTGCTCCCATTTCTTCTCCTTGCATAATGGCACTTTTTTCTCGTGGGTTTTGCTGAATTGTCTCCAAGTGGTTCAGGGGAGTGGAAGTCCTGCCTGGTGGTTGAGGTGGTTCCAGAGGCCCTACAGTGGTAGCCACAGTCCTCCCATCCTCAGGAAGGCTCTCCTCTAGAGGAAGACAGCTTGTGAATTAGACGGGTCACTGAGGTCTTCATGAAAGCCTTCCTGAGAAGTAAGGAGTTCATGGGAAGTGCTGGCTTCCGCTGGATCTGTACTTAAAATAGCAGTTTCCCCTGATGTTGGGTCCTGCACTTGTACAGAAGCACCTTGGTTAGCTGGCTTCTCTACAGAGTCTAGCAGTTTGTTCAGGTTTGCACCAGGACAGTCGTCAGTGGTCACAGAGGCTCCTCCACAAGCACGCTCTCGCTGTGGGCCAGACATTGAAGCCACAGAGGTGAGCTCTGAGGGTAAGACTGGAATGAAGTCCTGAAGCTCAGCTTTTTCCAGATTTTCTTTGATGGGATGAGGATCTATGGGATCAAGTGGCTCCAAGTTTTTGGTACCAGAGGAAGGACATGCTGGAACAGAAACCCCTGTGTTCTCTGTGCTAGAAGATGCTGCCACTCCTCCACAGAGTGGTGCATCTCTTTTATCAAACCTCTGAACAGCCTTTCCAAGGCCATCACTGTGCTCATCCTCCTTGCCCAGTCTTGTCCTGTCATCCCAGTCAGCTTCTCCAACATCCTGACCACTGATGGAAAAGCGGCCAGAGTCTTCTAGGTCTTCTGCCTGGTCAGAGATATGACATGTGTGTGGAGGCACCACTGGAGTTCCACCCACTGGGCTCAGGTTATTTGAGGACAGAGGTCTGAGAGTGGGTGGCTGACATCCAGAATCTGCTTCTGTGGCAGGAGCTTTCAGCAGTACATCCTCACCAGGATGCTGATGCACAGAGACAGGTTCCTCAGGAGGAAATGCTGATCCTGTCTGGTCAGCCAAAAGACCACTCTCCAAATCACGCAAGTCCACATTATGTTTGGGAACAGAAGACATCTCTGACCCAAAAGCTGATGATAGAGCCTCCAGTTTGAGCTCTTCCCTCTGCAGTTGTTGTTTCTGCTCATTTAGTTCTTTGCTTTTCTGATCTTTGGGCTCCAAAGATTTTCCTTTTTCTGGTAGATACTGCTCTTTGCACTCTTTCTTCTCC